GAGCAAAATAAGTCACAGGGAGATATAGATGCTTCCTCAGCTCAGTATCTGACCTGGGCAAAGGGATGGAAGAGATTGAGAGGCTCTAGGTCACATGGGAATCCAGAGCTCTCTGCAGAGCAAGGGGTGCCTGGGAACCTGTCCACAGGAGCGCCATCCAGAGACTAAGGCAGGAAGCAGGGTCACGAGTCAGGGCCAGACAGACACAATGGTATTTAAAAGGCCAGTCCAAAGCGAGAGAGGTGAGGGCAGCCAATTCAACTCAAGTCCTATAATTTACAGTATTTTATATTCTTACAAGTCCCCTGTGTGGTAGATGTCATGACTGATATTTTATAGATAAGGAAGATGAGGCTAAGGGAGGTTGAAAATCAACCTAAGATCACATGGCTGGTAGAACCATTGCCCATCTGCTTTAACCTACCCTGCTGGCCGCTGAGAGATGCCTCTCCCTGCAGTCAGGCTTGGTAACAGCAATGGTAAATCTGAGCCTTAAGAAGAGATGAAGTGGCCCCAGCTGCAGGAGGGGAGGTGTGCAAAGACTTGAAATAAAGCAGGACTGAGAGATGGATCAAGGTCACAATGCAGGAGGAGTTGGTTCTCATGGTATGCAGACCCTCGGGATTCAGTCCTGGACCCTTTCCCTGGTACTGTGCTTCATGGAGAGAATTGTCATCTGTATCACTTCTGGGACACTGAGCTAAAGCGCAGGCATGGCTGCAGGGCTCGGATCAGGGAGAGGTCTCCCGTTTGGACCCATGAGAGGCTGGAGGGGGAGGGCGGCTTGGGGGCCCAAAAGTGAGGAGAGGCTCTCTTCAAGCTGGACAACTGGTTTCCTCACTCATCAACACAGTGAGGTGGACAAGCGACCTGGTGACCAGGACCTGGTGCTCCTAGAGGTTTGGGTCTTTCCCTGGGGGGGCCTGGTGCGTGAAGGCTCAGATTGCAGAGCCAGGCTGTGCTGTCCTCTGGTTTCAAAGGACAGACCTCTAGGTGACCCCAACAGCTGAGCCCCAGGCCATGTCTGACTTGTACTGACTACCCCTGGGGCACCCCAGTCCCCTCCCAGCTGTAGCTTCTGGGCCTTCACTCCCTCACACAGCCCTGAGCACTTCTCTAGAACTTCCTGTTTTCCTGCAGCTGCACAGACCCAGCTGGCCCCACCTGGGCTGATCTGGCCAGGCCCAGGGCAAGAGATGGGAGTCAGCTGTGTTCTCCCCTAGCTCCTCTGGGCTCTCTCCATCCACAGGTCCTCAGGGACCACTCCCATCAGACCCCGATGTCAGTGGAGCAGAGGCCCTGTATCCAAGTCATCTCACCAGAAGGTCAAGGTGACCCAGAAGGGCTTGTGGTCAAATTCCTTAATTTTTTTTTTTTCTGATTTCTGACTTTCTAAAAAGGCTGAGTAAGTGATGACTTAAGGACATGGCATTCCAGAGAAAACTGGAGAGAGGAACAGAGTCCCCTTGGTGAAGGAGGTGGAGAAAAAGCACACAGAGGGTGAGGTCTTCCAGTGTCCCAAGCCCCCTGTGCTCTTTCCC